CTGCTCCCCAATCGGAACCTGTTGATAAAATAAACTAATTAAGAATTTTTGTTTATGTTCCGTTTTATGTTTTTCTTACCTCAGTATAATCGCGACGATGTCTTCTGTTGATGGCATATTCTCTGACCATATAAATGATCAGTCCGCTCGCAATGCCAACACAAATACCAACCACCAACAACATTATCGCGATAAAACTTGAAACCCCCGCAACCACTTGATTGTACATGTGATCTTGAAATCCAAATGTTGTGTGATTGTGCGAAGTGTCGGATCCGTTGAGAAAATCCCCTGCTCCAACAATGGATGCCTTTGGAAAAGACACCTCATCAAGAATCCTTTCCGTGACTTGGAAGACTGGACTTTCGCTGGAGATTCCCTCAAAAATGGGAACACTGCTGGAGACTGGAACCTCTGTTGTGCTGATCACCGATGACACCTGTCCAGCCAATCTACAGCGTCCTCCTTCAAGAACGATGAAAGAAGACGCCGCGTCTCCAACACACTCCACATCACCAACAAGAATAACCACCTACAAACATAAATAGTGCACTTTTCTCGAAGATTGAATGTTCGCGAAAGTTCAAATTCTTACCTTTATTTGGTTAAATGCTGCACAGTTTATATTAAGTTCCGGACCAGTTAATTTAACGATCCCCTCATACGCAGTAACTTGACGAACCCCTTCCTTGCATAAATTATAGCAAGTCCAGTTTTCGCCTATTAATGCACAATTTTCACTTTGAGCATTTGAGTTATATTTATTAAAAATAATACAAGCTGCTGAAACAAAAAATTTGCTTGCCAACATTTTTTCTAAAATTAAAAAGCTTCAAAATTCTTCTCAAATCGCTGTGAAAAGTATGCACTACGTTTCTCCACAAACGTTGGAAACTGAATGGGAACGATGGAACAAAACTCACGTGAAATCTGTACATGCAAATTCGCACGTACCTGCGTATGTGAAGGAATAACTTTGTTGCACTTTTCTCACTTTGAGGATTTCTGCATTTAAATAGAGCAAAACATTGCCATACGGCAGCAAAGTTTAAATAAGAAAAAGCAAGCTTTTTCTTCTTTGTGCCGGGTGATTGTTATCAGCTGGTTAAAACCGTGCTCTAACTTTCCTTTGCCCCTCGCCCCACTCATTAAAGTGGACGGGCCGCGCATGCGTGCGCAACTGAGTTTCCCTCGTTACCTGTCCCAATGGTAATTAGCCTCAGGCGGTCGACCGCCCCATAAATCTAACGAATACTGTGTTGCGGAATACGTGTGTGTCTCCTTTCTTTGTCTGGTCGGATGGTCATCGCCGAGCGATGACCCTGTACTGTCTGGTTTCTCTAGAGTTGATAAAAGGCCATGCCAGGACCAGTAGAAAGCAGTGCTTAAGATACCCTCAGAGAGAGCTGTATACGCATATATATCGGAGCTGAATAAATACTTGTAAGTCAAACTTGCGTGTGTTTATTTGTCATAAAATTGTCTTGAATACTTAAAGTATTCGGTCTTAGGATCCACCTGGTAAAAGAGTTTCGAACCTTAAATAAATATATTGTTGGCAAAATTGTGTGGTTATCCTTTTCAAGGTTTTCAATACTAATTAAAACTTCGTATTGATTGTAAAACCCTATTGCACAACAACAAAATTGGCGCAGTCGGTTGTCCTCTTTTGCGCCGAGTGAGTGCTGGTCAATAACCAGTCAATAACAAACTCCTAGACCCCACTTAAAGTGGAAGACAATTGAGTGAGAAAAGTGAAGATTATCGCGAAAAAAAGTCTAAGTGACACACTAGTTCTAAGTGAACTTGCAAAAGGGTTCTGAGTGAGCCAGAAACAGCCTGTGTGGCTTGAGGGGCATATCTGTGTGAGTGCCAAAAGATACACTGCCTTAGTGGCTTAAAAGCACGTCTGTGTGAGTGCTGAAAACATTTTGCCTAAGTGGCCAAAAAATTAAGAAATAAGCATATCTGAGTGAGTGCTTACAATCCTAAGTGGATTTCCGCCTTAGTGGCAAAGAGCATCTCTTAGTGAGTGCTCAGAGTGCCGGAGAAGAGGATCGAAAAATCAACAAGCAAGAGGAGACAACTACATCGCAAAGCAGTCTCGCAAAAAGGAACGCAGTCTTGCAAAAAGGAACGTCGCTCCTAAAAAAGGACAACAGGTTTTTATATCTCATATATTAAAACTAGAAAGAAATCGTTAATGACAAAAAAGTCTACTTTATCCTATAATAAATTTCAATATTATAGAAAAAAGAGTAGTCAATTAATATATGTCTAAACAAATAAAAGACACCCCGGTAACCCAAAATTCGAGCGCACCTAATAAAACCAGTGCACAAAAAGCTACTGAATATAACTGCAATTTAATAGAAAAATTATTCGCAAGTGCCTACGGACCTAACACGCAAACCCAAAGAGATAACACTCCTCAGGAAACCACTCGCAGCACGTACGTAAAATTAACGCGACCTACTGACTTTGAAACCCCTGAAGAAACTCGAGAAAGATTAGCTAGAGATCCTCTAGGATTAAACGATGACTAAAAAGAAGTGTCAATTTAAATATCTTTAATAAAAGTAAAAATAATGGCTGTACCAGGAGCAGAAGCGTCAGGAGACCTCATCCCCCTAAATGAAAATAATCCTCCTCCTATACAACCTACCAAAATTCCTTCCAAAGTTCCCAAAATTCCACAAAGCAATCAAGATTCACTTTCCAACTTAGGAATCACCCAAGATCCTAAGCCATCCACTTTGTTTTAAGCTTCTAGTAGTTTTTCCAAAAGCTACCAAGCAAATAGCCTTCCTGCAGAATATTTAACTTTTTCACCACAGGAACAAGCTGCTTATCTGCAAAGAACCATTAATGAAACTAGAAAAAATATTATTAAATATAGAAGCAAATTACCTAATGCTAGTGCAAAAAGAGCCGATTCTATAAGACTTCAGATCAGCCAATTCAAGTCTAATATCGAGGAATTGTCAATCATGGAAAAAGATATTCAAGATAGTCTAAAAATTATTGCTGATGCACAAAGAGCTCTTACTGAAAAGAATAATATTTTAGTCTCACGAATGATACAGCAACAGGCTGCCGAAAGAACTATGAAATTAAATGAATCCAGCAAAATTAGAAAGTCAGTACTTTCCAATACCTTACTCGGAACATTAGAGACTCCCACTCCTGAAGAGATGGTAGTATGGAATTGTTATCAGCTGTGCTGAATTGCTCCACTTTTTCCTCGCCCCTCGCCATGCTCATTGAAGCGTGACCACCGCGCATGTGCGGGCAACTCTGCTTCCTCTCCCCTCAGGCTCATTAACTATGGCCGTCGGCGGTCCATTGCTGTATAATTTAATGGTGAAACGCTGTTGCGGAATACTTTTGTCTCTGCCGCATACTTTCTTTACTTCCTTTAAAGTCGAGGCTAAAGTCTGATCATTGACCCTGCTCTGTCTGGTTCTCAACGAAGTTAATAAAAGCCCGGACTAGATAGCAAATCCAGCAGTGGATATTTCCCTCTGGAAAGAAGCAGAGTCCGGATAGGAGCGTATGTTATGCATACTTGTCAAA